CCCCCCCCCCCCCCCCCCCCCCCCCCCGCCTATTTAAGAAAAACATTGTAACAACAACAAAACTGTAATTATGTGAGGTGACCTACGTGTTAACTAACCTTCTTGTAGTAAACATTTCACAATATACGTGTCAATCCAGCACATTGTACACCTTAAACATATACAATGTCATATTTCCAATTATATATCCATAAAGCTGGAAAAAAAAAAAAGCTTGCACTGCTAATCTGGCTAACAGTCTCTATTTCATCCCCTGTCCCGAGGCAACCAACATCCTGGTACCTCTGGAGAGATGCAAGCCACTGGCTTTAGCATTATTTTGTCAGCCATTAAATGATTCAAAAGAAAGAAGGAAAGAAAAAAAAGGGAGGGAGGGAGGCAGAGAGAGACAGACAGACAGACAGACAGAAAGACGGACAGCAGACAGACATTATAGTCGCTTATCACCTGAGAAAGGAAGCCTGTTAGGAGGCCCGTTAAGAGATGAATACCTGCCTTGTTTGCTCTCAAGAAAATGGGTATAAGAATAAAGCCTACAGTAGGTTATGCCTTGCTCAGACACTTTCTCCCTGAGGTTATTTCAAGTATTGACAGCACTGCTCTGAGTCTGAAGGGTAGGAGAGGAAGGGTGGGTGTAGCTGTGTGCGTGCAAGTGCAGGCAGAGAACGAAAACTCGCTAAGGAGATGAGAGTCTCAGTCCCACCACTTTGTGTAGCCCAGCGTTCCAGCAACAGCATGGGCTCATCTGTGGGGCTCTCAGTGCTGCGGGCAGAAGGATGTGAAAGGGGGGTGAGAATACCACTCTCAGCTTGCAACAGATGAGTAGATTAAATGGTTAGAGTTCATTTGCTCAGAATCGCATAGCTGCATGTGACAGAGAGCAGGGGAGGAGTGCGTGCCTCTTCCCATCAGCAACGGTTAGCATGTATGTGGGGCTGTAGCTCTGACGCTGACAGTGCTGCAGAGCCCTCCACCAGCCTGCGGTCAGGAGCGCAAGGGGGAAGGGAGGGTGCACTGCCCCTGAGTAGATGGAGACCTCCTAGACTTCTGATCACCAGAAGCCCAGCACCTTCTCTCCTTCCTTTTTTGGTCCTTGAAGGCAGCAAGAGAAATCCCAAGCTGTTTTGTTGTTGTGTTTTTTTTTTAATCACTTTTTTGCTGGGCTGTGTGTCAAAGCCCTCAGACAGGGAAGAGAAATGTTGGCTTTTGGCCCTGGTCAAGATCCTCCCCAAACTGATGCAATTAGGTAGAGGATAACCAGCCTCCATATTATATGCAAGCCTTACTCCAGTGACCCATCCTCTAAAGACTGACTCTGAGCGAGGTGACGATGAGCAATGACTCCATATAGGATTTAACGCAGCGACAGACAAATGCGGACGAGCCCACATGTGCTACAGGGGCAGTTGCGGGAAAGCGTCAGGTGGCATGAGTAGCACAGAATAGCTCACAAGGAGACAGGGTGCTGGCAAAGGCTTTAAAACACTTATATTTCAGTTGGTTTTTCAGTCTTTCTTTTGTTACCTTATTAAATTTAAACAAATCAATCAAAAGAGGGAGATGATTTTCCCCAGAAAGTCTTTTATTAATAACCTTAAATTTAGTTTATGTCCAGATTTTTATTATGAAATAATTTATATGTACCAAAGACCGTATGTACAGATGACCACCTGTGAACCCACCCCCGCAACTTAAGAACTAGATCCATCCGCCTGTATGGAATCTACCCTGTGTTGCTCCCCTATCTCATCCCTCTGCCTTTTAGGTTCAAATCATGAAATTAAAAATGCTAACATTTAAACAGTTTGTATTGGGTTCATTTCTACATCCTCCAAGAGAAATACGTGCAGTTATAAGTATATTATCTAAGAACATATGTGGAAGTTTGCTTTTTTCTTTAAACACTGCATGCATTTAAGGAAATTGCTTTCAAGCCATTATCTTCATTTTAATGTGGTGACATTTTTACTGCTCTGAAATTCCACTAGATGGAGACATTTCATCATAAAAAGTAACCATACCGATCACCTCCAGCCTTTCTTTTCTTTTCTCTCCCTCCCTCCCTCTCCCTCTCTCTCCCTCCCTCCTCCCTCTCCCTCTCCCTCTCTCTCTCTCTCTCTCTCTCACACACACACACACACACACACACACACACACACCTGGGAAATCTCCCGAACAGTGAGGAAAATATTAAGTACTTGCAGCAGAGGCTTATTTTTTTTACTGCAAGATAACCTTCACTGAGTTAGTTCTAATTGATTTAAATTTACAAAAAAGTCACCTATCAATTTGGGGGTACACGGAAATGTCGTCTGGGGCAGGAAGCCAATGCACTTTGTTGCAGGTTGTGACAGTCCAGTCTTATTCAGGTGACGTGGTACTAATCAAGTTACTCCCATTTCAAATCCAGCATTAACTATCTCATTTTGGTCTTGCCACCTAAATAGTTTAGTACAGATTAGAATCCAACTGTCAGACTGTTCGAAAGTCCTGTATCAGGAATTCATGATTTTCTCTTAAGTGACTCCATTAATCTCACAAGGGTTTTCAGTTACTCATGAGAAACTGAGAAAGATAAAATCCTTTTCTCTTTTTTTGAGGCCATCCAGGGTCACTTTCTCCATCAAAGGAGCTATGGGGTGACAAGGACACAATGTTATTATGTAGTAAAACTCACATGTTGTGTCCAGACAGGCTGGTACAGACTCAAGACATCAAAAAAGCCTTTTAAGCAAATGAAAAAATCATTTGTTTAATACACTAGGAGCCCAATTCACCTACCAATAAATAATATACTCTATACAATTTATTCACCTTGATTTAGGAAAATAGGATCTTTACTGTGCTACTTTTTCTTTCTTGAGTTACTAGGAGTAATTAGTATTATTAAAGCTGCATTCCTTGAAACAGTTCTTACAGTCGAGTTATTTCATTAATTCAGAGTTGGTGAGGTTTTTCTTCAACTGCTATCTTGCTCTGATTCAAATATATGATTTAAGCCCTGCCTCTGGTTTAGAAGAGCTTTTAAGTTTCCGTAACAGCTTCCCCTGTGGTTCTAATGTAAACACTTAGTAAAAGAGCCTCTTCCCAATCCCCAGAGTTGCTCAGAGATGGCTTGTGGTCCCAGGAGCTGGGAGTCTGGAGCCCTGATGGAGCCAGGAAGTGACATTTGCAAACAGAAGTCAGCCTTGATCTATGGAGCTGTGGAGCATTATTATAAATGCTGGATTCTTTCTAAATTTGGTCACTGCCCATCTTACTCTCATAGGGCATATCCATAACAATTTTGTCAAATGTTTAGATGGGCTCTAAACCAGATTTCTTCTTATCACAATGAAAAGAACTTTAAAGGAGTCACTACCCTAGGCAGTGAGCACTACTCCATGCTGTGTAAAATGTCTACTACATTTTACAGTTGCTGTTTCTAGGTGGTACGTCACTAGTCATGAAATGTGAAAACAGGGAATAAAACAGATGAATTCACATATTCGAAATGGGTCAAGTTTAATAATGTCCAAATTCCGTACCCTGAGCCCCTACACCAGGTCCACGAAGGACCTCCCATCCCCATGGCGGGAAGCAGTGCTGTGGGCTCCGGGCATGGGCACACGTGCATTATCACATGGTTTATGCTGCACTGTGAAACACAAAAGCCAGTCCTGTGGCCTCCAGTTCCTGCCTCTTGACAGGGAAAGGAGCAGGCGGACCCACACTAGGAGGTGTGGCAGCTGCCCCAGGGAGAACACAGCTCTGCCTCTCCCTCTCTTTCAAGGGATGAGCGCCAGGGGCTGGGAGAGGCACGGGCAGGGGCAAGGAGACACATGCCATCTGGTTCTGTACTATTGCTTTGTTTTTCCTTCATGATTTTCTCTTCCCTGTTATTACCCTTGACTTCAGGATACTGTGTTTGTTACGAAAACCTTATTTCCATGCCATAACCTTGAAAAAGGGCATTTAAATGGCACGTAGGATGAGAAATTCCACTGGCAAGAAGGAATAACATTAAAGGGATAAAAAGCCTTTGTAATACTGTCTTCTAAGAGAACAGGGTCAGAGGTTCAAAAGCCTTCTGTAAACATTAATGGCCATGCATGCAAATCATGAAACACAGATTGACGCAGGTCGGGTCTTCCTCGAATGTTTCTCCAAAACTCCAGTCGGAAGCCACTCTAGATCCTGTCCAGACTAACAAAGGAAGAAGGCACAAATTTGGTTTGGGCAAAAGGACTGGCTTTCCAAGTGCCCTGCAACCCAACACGTAAATCCATGTGCAGTGTGGAGAAAACCTAAGAAAAGCCATGTATGGTACCTCCTACTATTCCTTAATTCTTACCTTTTAGAAGTTACAAATTGATTGAAAAGTTCTAACCAACCTTGGCATTTAGGAAATACTGCATAAAATTGGGAGGGGAAGGAGGGTGTATTTCAGAATTCAACGTTAGTAGACTCTGACAAGAAGCATTCATGTGAGCATCAAATTAACAATAAGGAATCATAAATCAGAAGATATCAAAGCCAAATCCCCCCTCCCCCATTTCCCTTCAAACCTTCCTGTAACTCCAACAGTTCAGTCCCCTCTGATGTGGGCCCTTCCAACACTGAACCTGACACTTCACTCGGGATGCCATCCCTGCATCTCACCCTTGGCTTTGCCACCTGCTAGCTCTGTGCACCCAGGGAACTCCCTAGCCTGAGCCTCTGGCTCCTCCTATGTCAAAAGATGACTATGAGACACACCTCAGACAGTTGCTGTGGAGAGCAAATGAGAACCTTTGCAGCTTAGCACATGGCTGGCACATAAGGAGCCTTCAATAAATGGCAGCTCTTTACTGTGCTTAAAAAAAATTCCTTTGGCTACAGGAGGAGGGCTCATGGGGGGCAGGTAATGTTCTTTTTGATCTGGGTACGTGTTGCACAGGCATGTTTGGTTTGTGTAAATTCCGCAAATGGTACACTTAAAAAAAACTGTGGTAAAATATGTATAACATAAACATACCACTTTAACTGTTAAGTTAAGCGGCCTTACTGTGCGAGCACCACCCTGCACACTTTTGATCTGTGCACTTGACCATATGCATTTAAATAAAAAGTTAAAAAAAATCCCACCCACCCTCCTGTTCACAATGACAATAATATATTTAAAAATAACCCTGTAACTACGGAGATGTGCCTTCTGATGTCTGGAAGAGTCACTGTCCTATTACGGGAGGAATTCCATTCTTGCCCTTGAAAGGTGGTCCTGAGAGCTGGGGGCACCCTAGGGAAGGAGTGGGTTTTACAAGGAGGCAGTTTTCAGGGCCTGAGGCAGTTCCCTGTTCCAAGGACCACTCCTCTTTCCTGGGATGGGTGCGGTGAGCAGGGCTGCCTCTCACCTGCCCTTGGAAAAGCTGAAGAGCCAGACTTTGGGCCCTTCCACCACCATGAAATCCAGTTTGCTCAGAGAGCAGAGGGCAGAGTACCAGACCTAGCAGCACTGGAGAACTTCCTGGTGGGCCCTCAGCCTCCAAGTGGCATTCTTTCCCAGCCACTGGGGGGCGCTCACGAGGGAAACTTGAGGTGTTGGGGAGAGGGCCTGACTTGCACACATGAGACACCACCATTTTCTTTGGAGTCTGGATTTTTCTGGAGGGCCCCCATTTGTGCACACTGCCTTAACCTAACAGACATAATATTTAAAAACTATAGGGAAATCTGACCCATATTTACTCTCCCTAAAGGAAGTATTAAATGGAGGATTTGAAAAATGAGTGATTCTCACCCTTGACATTTCCCCATTGCCTGCTTAACTGCTGCTTCTACTGGCCACATTGAAAAGGCATATGCTTGTAGTCATTCTCGAGTGGGCAAAATCACTTCTCCTTCCATCTTACAAAGATTTCAGTCACTTGCAAATTTTCATTATGGAAAATTGCTTCCACAGGCTTCACCAATGGGAACATTTAGTAGTTTTGAAAATGGAACTTGTTGCCAGCCTTATGTGAGGCTAGGGCAACATGTGAAATTTGAAGATAAGCTCCGGGCAAAGAGAGGCTAATGTGGACAGGCCAGCCTCCTGCCAATCATCTGAAACTAGATTTGTAGAGGGCGAGGCTGGTGCTTTTACAGCCTTTAAACCAAAACCAAAACCATCGACTCTGCTTCTATGATATCTTCCAAAAAGCTCCCTGGACATACAGCGCCATAAAATACTGCACTGGTTCATCAACTCTTCCTTCCTCAAGTTAAGTGGCTGAGAATTAATGAATTGATTAGCAAGCGTTCTCTTAGCATTTCAGAGATCTGAAAAGGTGCAGACTGCTAACACAAGAATTGTTGCCCAGCCTGAAAGGCATGCATGCTTCCCTCTCCCTCTCCAAACTTACGAGCTGTTCAATATTTGAAATTTTTCTCCTTTGTGAAAACTCAGGTCATCTTCCGTCCGTGCTTCATAATCGTAAAGGGCCACAAACAGGGTCACTCCTGACAAAAACAAAATCAAAACGGGAGAGATTATTACACCAGGGGAAATCAATTCCAAGAAATTAAGTCTTCACTAAAATCTCATTTTCAAAATTTACATCTAATCAGTACTGATAACATGATACAGTGTTGTAATTGTGTGAAACTAGAGTCACAAGCTGAATTTATGCCTTGGTCTTTGTAGGGGAAGCATTATTTGATCCAACTAAAACCCAGAGTTGAAGGACTTCTCTCTGTACACTTGGAATGAGTCCTTGGGAGGAGACGGATATTGATATCACGGCCACAACCAAGGGGCAGCAGCAACATTATACTTCAGATTTGCAGGGCTCTGCAGCAATTACAGACGCTCTTTACCCCACACGTCCTCCTCCGTGCCGGAGCCCGCATCAGGTCTGGGTAAAATGGACTACGCTTTCCCTCGGCATAACAGGACACGGAATGTAACAGGAAACTCCTTCTGCAGCCCGGGCACTGAGAAGACCCTCTCCGTACATGTTCACCCCGTCAGAGGATGTCTTGACCTTGGCACCTGCCAAGGCCATCAGGACTCCCTCTCTCTGGCTCTCCTTCCACCGTGGACTCACCCCTCCCTGCATGACCTGTCCTCACTCTTTCTCACCTGGCTGACGCGCCACAGAGGCCTTTCCTACCTTGCAGCGGTTTGCCATCAACACTGAAGAATGTCCAGTGTTGTATTTGCCCTAGAAGTCTGCCTCCTATGTGGAGGAAGTCCTAAGCCAGCCCTCAGGGATTTTCACCTCCTGGTATTCAGGCCCTTGTGTAACCCCCTCCCTTTGAGTGTGGCTGAACCCAGTGACTTGCTTCTAACCAACAGAACATGGCAAAGGTGATGGGATGTCCCGTGAATGATTACGCTTCAACTTCAAAAGACGGTGACTTCTGTCTTCCGAGCAGACTCTCTGGATTGCCGCTTTGGCTTGATTACTCTGATGAAGCAAACTGCCATGCTGGCGAGGCCCACACGATAAAGAACTGAAGGTGGCCTCTGGCCAACAGCCAACGAGGAGCTGGGTCCTGCCAACACGCCGTGAACTTGGCAGCAGCAGACCCTTCTCGGATGGACGGCGAGAGGACCACAGCCCAGCCAACACACCTTGCCTGCAGCCTGTGAGAGACTCTGAAATAGAGGCCCCGGCTGAGTTGTTGCTAGATTTCTGACCCACAGAAACTGTGGGATAGTAAACGTGCATCCTTTTAAAGCTGTGAAGTTTTGTGATAATTTGTTATGCAGCAACTGATGACAAATACATTCCATTTCTCTGCTCTCTGGATTCTCATTTTGATTTCCACACACCCCAAAGTGCCTAGTGGCCTGAAGAACGCACACCATAGGTTCTGCGCTTCACCAAGCTGCCGTTTTGCTGTGTTGGTAGTTCCAAGGGAACAGATGTGCCCGGGGACTATTCAAGAACTGGAGGGAGAGAGGGGGCTTGACTGTCCACCCCATCCCAAGCGGGACTTCCTGCAGGAGGGATGGCACGCAGAAGGTCTGACCATGCAAAGCAGCAGGGCTCATTTGACAAAATGCAAAACGTTTCAAAGATTTCTTTGAACAATTAGAAAGGAGACTGGCTTAAAACAGAGTGGGAGCCTGTAAGGCCATGCCTATCCTCATTTAACACTCTGTTAACAGATTCCCTTCAGTTCAGAATTTAAAAACAATCCTAAGCTCCACCGTGTGGAAGACAAGGCACAGGAGGACGATACTTCCACTTGCCCACTGTCTCCCTGCATCACTCACTGGGTGTTTTTATCTTCTAGGGACGGAGGGAAGAGTCAAAGGAGGTCACAGGGATGCACAGACACTGTTCCTGGCCTTAGAGCACTGAAAGCAACGCTGAGGAGAAAGACATGCATATATGATACAGCCAAATAATTCAGGCAGAAAAAAGAAAAATCCACCAACATTTGCGAGTGTTGTTTTAACTTTCACATCTCATAGGGATCGGATGCCCTCTTATACTAACACTGTCCCTGACGGTGTTACAGACCCACACGTTCAAGGCAAGGAGCCCTCTCTAGTGACTTTATGAATGATACCTGCAGACACAGGATTCATATCCAGCATTCACGAGTGAATGCACAAGGTCAGTGCCTGTGTCAGCAGAATTCAGAGTCCGGCTGGCAAAGCACTTGTCTTCTCCCGGCAGGCCAAGGGCACGTGTGCTGGGGGCATTTCTGGCTCCTTTTTTCCTCCAGCATCCTCCAGAGACAGACGTCCCTAGACTGCCTGACGGCCTCTTTCCTTCCGCCCTCCATTCCAGGTGCCTCCCAGGAAGGCTGGAAGGATGAGTAAGTGTGCCTAGCCTTCAGTCACCCATGCAAGGCCTGCTTTAAAGGAAAAGCTAGATTCACCATAACATAAGGATGAACATAAAATATTTTTTCTACTGAGCAGAGTGTGAAGTGTCGGCAGAACAGAAGTAGTTAATTGCCCAAGGCTCTGGGTCAGGTCCCCTTGATATAACTATACTGTCCTGTTGGGTGGAGAGGGAAGAAGACTTCTGCTGAAGCCTTGGTAGTGCCAACTCCCAAGGTAAAAAGGCACAATGGGCTGTTATTTAAGACATCTGCTCCCAGATGAGCTGACAGCATAATGGTTGATGTATATTTTTAAAAACTTTTGTAATAAACAAAACAATTTTGGAACATATAATGTCAAATATCTAGTTACCATGGCTCACATACTGGGAGAGGCTTTGGAAGACTAAGGACGCATGAGATAACTTACAAATATTTCAGAAAACATATGTCTGAGAACGTAGGCCAGATATTTTACAAAGTTATTAGCTAAGTCAGCAAATGCACATGGCAGTGAAACACAGCCTAGGGAAA